AGTATCGATAATTTTGAGACGTTTAAACTTGATTTAGAATGAATGGATCAAAATTTTTAGAGATTGTTATATACGTGCGTGGGTAATATGGAGCACAATTTTCCAAAATTATTGCCAATGAAATTGCTTCGAAGTACCTATTAGTTGTCTAAGTAGGCAGGACCTTAGACACTGTACAATTTGCTCGGGTGTAAAATACTGGCGAAGGAAATGGTAACAAATCGAGAGCAAGCGTTGGTAGAACGTGTCGTAATGTATTTATGCTTCTAACGAACGATAGAGATATCTAGATCCGTTTTGATAATGGTTGAACAGCGATGAAAAATTTGTAACGTTGTAAAAGTCATGGGAAATATATCACTGAGTAAGATTGCCTGTATTCTACACGCGTATGAGGGTCCCAACGATATATCATTCTGGTACCTCGAAAGTGCAAAACGATAATTCACGACGTAAGAAAATGTTACATCATTCGATGTATGAGTACAGGTTTCACCTGCGAATGAGTAAAACCGTGATATATCGATCAAACGAGTAAAAATATATCGGAAAAATCGGCGTACAATTTCAGAAAATATTTGTCCAGCTCAATCGTGTAAACCGAACCTCGACAAGTCTGACGCACACGTTCGAAAGTATGCTTTCCGTTTCCAATTTCTGTATTCGCATCTGACATTTATTCCGAATTATTTCACACGTTTCTCCCAATCTGTCTGAAAAAAACGGATTTAAAGAAATATTTAATGTATCGTTACAATAATAATTTCGGAATTCAACACCTCTGATCTTCGATCATCGAACATAAAACATTCCGTGTTTGCTTTGATATTACCCAAGTCTGTTTCAACCCAAGATCGATCGCAAACATCGAATTCATCGGTTATCTATCTGTGCTTTTTTTCCTGCAGAATGTTCGATAATATTATCGCAATCTGTTTCCAATCTCGCTGTTTGATTCTTTAACATTTCCACTTACGAGGTACCATTTGGTGAATTTTTAAATAAAATGAAATAAAATGATATTTACTCCACACAAATAAACAATGATACGTTTACTACATCTCACGATTATTTTACTTCAAAAATTAAATTCCAAGATTTAAAAATAGTTTCTAAAAATTAAAATCTTGCTAAATCGGAAAATCACGCTACCACTACTACTTTTCAAATCAGAAAATGACTATCACAACGAAAAATCTATTCAGCGAATCGATGCGAATAAGGAAAGGAGAAACAAAATTGGAGAGGGTGAGAGAGTACCTTCGAGATTGCGATTCGAAAGATTTATCATCGTGGTAAGGTGTTCGTGGTACACTATAAAACGATGGAGATGCATCGCGGAAAATGACGAGCAGTAGCGTGGCATTTATTGGCACCGCGTAGGCGCGTAATTACTTCTCCGGGAACCGGTAACCCGTCATCAAGTAATTTTGTAGTTTGGAAGCTTCGAAGGTCTCCGAAGGCACCAGCCCGCGGCTTCTTTTACAACATTGCGTACGCCGCGTCGAAAAATCGGCTGAATCTGATCGCGAACAGCGGCAGGCGTCTAACCGATTAGGATAATTTTATATCGCGGTCTGGAGTTACGTTCGTCTTGCTTCGTAACCTCGATACGATCGAAGACATTGCTAATTTATGTAAAGCATAGCTCGTCACAGGGTATCGGATCTTGGATTTCGTGGGAAACTTAGCACATTGCGTGCCGTACAATTTACACTCGGCTAAGCGGTAGACGTCGCAGATTTTCCGGAGTTATTGAACGTGGTAAGACGCGAAATAGAAGGTCTGTTGATCTAGCGGTGCATCATGAAGTGGAAGCTATCCTCCAGCTATCGATAATACTTCGGGGATATGTGCTCTCTGCTCTTTCGTCTGTTATTTCGCGGAACGTCCCAGAAGAGGATAGTCTGTTTAAGAATTTATGCACGAAATAAAATAAAACGCGTTGTCAATTTATAACGAAGCACGTACTTAATTACTCATTAGTTACCACCATTTTCATTTTTCTGGAATTTATAATACAATATATTATTATTAATACTAATAAATATTTATAATATTATTAATTTATTAATAATCCCTAAGCAAAGAATATAACAATATATTAATTGCAGTGTAACTGTTAATCCTGTGTTTGTATTGTTGATAAATGAGTTAGAATAAAGAAAAGAAATACACAACACGTGTCGTACAGTACTGTCGTTATTACAAAATAAAGGTATTTAAAAGAAAAATTCACTGTGCCTATTTCTACCTATATACATATATATTATATCCAATACGCTGAAAATGGTATACTATATTATCGTGTTATATGTGCTCAGTACCGTACGATATATTTAAATTCTTATCTATCATCTTAAAAAAGAGCCACCTTACTCCAAGTCATCCTGCACTCGAAAATCTGACCTAAATATATCCCACTACAAGCTCCGAGGAAGTCAAGTTCCATTTATAATATTGTCATCGCTGTGATTAACGCGCAGTTATTCAGGGCGCAGAACGCAAATAGCGACTTGATAATTTTTTATAAACAATTCGAGGAAAGTGGTACCCGAAACGATGGCGGATGAATCAGGCGGGATTGTTTGGAAGAGTCTGAAACATCGACGATTCGCAAACTCTCGTTAATATATACAAGCCGGGAGTCGGCACGTCAGATTGTTTAGCCGTGGGTTGGATGGCGGATGGCAGAGGAAAAGGAAGCGGCTGGCAAAACTGCGTCGCTAACGAGCCGCGAGCTCAATATCCTTAAAACTTGCCTGGCCGATAAAAAGACCTCTCCTCTTTTCTTTCGAAGGCGTTGAAGAGGGACAGGGAAAATATTCAACGAGGGGACACTGAACCCATTTGTCAGCCTCGAAAATAACTCCTTCGCTTTTATGATAAACCATCGCTATGCACTGGGGGCAGCAGCGGGTATAGTTAACCAGGGAAAAAATATCGCCATGGCTGCGAACCGGCAGTGCAGCCGAAGAGGATGGAGGAGAGGCTGTTAAGAATATTTCGGCCACATGTGCACGTCCGATGGAAATTATTTTCTGATGACGTTGCACGACAGCGTTACTTTCTCGTCGACATTTGGCATACAAATAGGATGACGTTAGTCAGCCGTTAAAAATCGATATCTGAGAAGGCAATTTTGAATATCCCTAAAGTGCTACGAAGTACGAGGTATTAGAACACGATAAAATTCCTGGTAATTATTCGCTTACATCCATTTTTGCAAAAACTTCGGTTGCCATTTAATAAAATTCTAAATATATTAGAATTTTGTGGCAGAAAATCTTTGACTTGCTATTTTTCTGTAATGAAAAGTCACCAAGTGCTAAAGTTTAATGAAGAATATTCGATGAGGTTGAAAATGTAATGTACTCTAATTAATGAAGTAATCTGTGATGTTGTGGATTAACAAACGTATTTGTATGTTGTATATTTAGAATAAAGTATCAGGGTATCATAATATGAGAAGCGTATTGAACTAGATATATATAATATTTAGTTTATCAACCTTGATTAGATATTGAACCTGAACGACTATCAATTTCGCAATCTAGATGAATAAATATGCAAAAGAATTTAGTACCTCCATTACTGTCAACGATAAGGAAAATATGTATATATTAATTTATACACACATTGCCTGAATTATAAATACCTTTATAATAGCCAAACATAATTAGAACATAACGTAATAATTTATATACCGATTATATCACCTATATCCTATACAGAGCGTGTTATATCATACATAACTAATACTAGAGTCTGTCGCAAATACCCTATACTAAACGTGTATTGTTATCAAAAAATAATGATAATTATACCAAAGATGCGAACGAACGACTAAGACGAACAACAAGCAGATAATAGCGATTTATTTATTCATGAATCGAGCAATCAGGACTTAATTCAAGAAGCCGTGCACACGGTGAATTGTGTACGCGCGAAGCATGGCGTCGGAAACCGCAAATCGTCACGCGGGTAGCCGTAACATTACTCGTCGTTTGCCAAGCGGGCCCCTTCGAGCTGCGGCCACGTTTCCCTGTGGCATCCGTACGTCGCGATTCATTTCTCGCGCGATGTTAATTGACGCCGCGGAATTACATCGCATTTGCATGCCGGACACGACGCGACGTTCCGCGCTGCTTTATTTTTCCGCCGTGGCGCTCGCCTTTCGTTGCACGCGTGTACCCGCGCGAGAGAGAAGGGAGATGACACGAACGAAACGGGCGGAATTATTGCATCGCGCACGATTAACCACCCAAGTATTAAGGAACGGCCTGGATTTCCGAGAAATCGACCGTTTGCGTGAAATAACTCGCCCATAAAATTGCACTGCGACGAAACCTTTTATAAATCAACCGAACAATGCGACTGTTCACCGTTAAACCGATATAAGTGGGACGTGTAGAGAGGATTAATCTTTAATGGGGCGAATCAAGTAGTCGACGAGTTATTCATCAAGTCGCGATAATAACAAGTCTTTCAACAGTCACGGAGCTTTCAAGAACAGATTTCCCCGTGATTAATTGACTACGCGACGAGACTTCGTTAGACGACGTGAATGGCGTTTTCAAGCGACGTCGAAAAATGAGGTGTCGCGAACGCTGAGACTGCGTTTGATCAATCATCGTGGCTCGAAACGGTAGCCAATGACCAGCCAGGCTGTTTGGAAAACTTTCGAACCGACGAATTGTGCCGGTCGAGCACGAGTGCCACTTCACTTCGTCCAGCTATTTCTTTGTTCTTCCATGTGACGTCTCGAGGACGTCTCTCGATGTGTTGTCTGTTTTGTGACCGGCTTCTGATTGCTCGTAAAACTGGCCTTTCCGTTTCGTTTTCGTTCTTTTTCCCATCGACTCGTTAGTTCCATCGATTTAATTAGGGGATCGCTTTATGGAGAAACTTTAATCGTTGTACAGCGAAATAACGAAACTTATTAAAATATTATTAAAAATATCGTGCCTATATAACCTATAATATAACCTATGACATACCTCATATGCAAACACGTACAGCTTTCCCAAATTTAATATTTCGTTCACACGTATCACTTCAGATGAGAATCACTGAAATAAAATGAATACAAACTGCAATGACAATCACAACACATTCTACGATAAAATCATCGATGTCTCTATTTCACCACTTACGCGAATTCATATGCACTAAACATGTTGTTAATAATTATAACCACACCCATAAGCATTCCATATTTTCATTCGGTCACGTGACACTCTCCCGCCAATTTCCTGCAAGATGTCCTCCCAAAACTATTCGAATTTTTCTGTCGGAGATTTATTAATCGGAATGCACTAACCTCGTTAAGGACTTCGATTTACGATCATGGCACTCGTTTAAGGTTGAAACCAACAAACGTTTCCTTTTCTTGTAAGCTACCGTCTAGAAAGGAGAAGAAGAATCGGTAGAGTAAAGTTCATGAGATCAAACAATAAAGAATGGATGTTTATCACTGGCGGCGACATCGGAACGAGCGTGCAAAGCGTGTTGTTACGATCGCGACATCTCGCGACGACGGTTTACCGGCATACGACGATAACATACGACTCCTTAGACTGAAAATTCGCCCCATGTATCCGTGATTACGCGCGCTCTTTACGAGTATTACCAGGGGAAAGTGAGGTTGAATATTTATGGTTCAATTAGAAATCGGGGATGCGAGATTAATTGATACCAGATCGTTCAACGTATAGACTTTACCCTGGATAGTGTATATGATTTGTTATTCGCGTTTTTCTCGTGATTCGCGTAAAGTCGATGTATCAACCGGTTCGGTGATCCCGCTGCACTGTCGAATATATAGGTATCTACCCTGTTTTTCAAGCGCAATCTAGAATCTACAATCGATACTAGATAACCACGCAGTATTATTATCCGATTTGCACGCCCGCCACTTTCACACATGTCACCTCAAAATTGAATAAAAATTGAAAATATCATTCAAAATCTAGCTATGTTAAATAAATATCGTAACAGACAATCGAAATATAGAATTTATAATCGAATATAGGTAACTACGTAGTACCTACATACGATTTACACTTCGCCACTTTATTTCGCACAAGTCACGTCAAAATCGAATAAAAATTCGAAAAACTACTAGAAAATTGCCTTTTTCAACCTATATTAAATAAATATCGTAACAAAAATCGAAATCTAGAATCTATAATAGAAAATAGGTAATTACGCAATAGTTGTATATGATTGCCATACACACCCCACCCCTCCTCCGCCCATTCGCCACTTCATCACTTTCTTTCGCACAAGTCACGTCAAAATCGAATAAAAATACGAAAAACTACTAGAAAATTGTCTCTTTCAACCTATATTAAATAAATATCGTAACAAAAATCGAAATCTAGAATCTATAATAGAAAATAGGTAACTACGCAATAGTTGTATATGATTCCCCCCTCCCCTCCCGCCCCGCCCCACCACACTTCATTTCCTACATGTAACGTTAAAATCGAGGAAAAATTCGAAAAACTATTAGGAAACTGTCTTTTTAAACCTATATGAACTAAATATCGTAATAGAGAATCGAAATCTAGAATCTATAATAGAAAATAGGTAACTATGCAGTAGCTGTATGATTGCCACGCCCCTCACTTTATTTCTTACATATAATGTTAAAATTGCGGAAAAATTCGAAAAACTATTAGAAAATTACCTTTTCCAACCTATATCAACTAAATATCGTAATAAACAATATTAGGAAACTTCGCAGTATATTTATATGATTTATACTCACGAAACGTTTTGTAGCAGAGAAAATTTCACTTTAACGCGCGAAAATATTCTGCCATGCGTTACCGGTATGTTCAATTTGGCAAAGACTTGAAGTTGCCTGTAGTTCAACAAGCTGGGCGTTGTCATCGCGGGAAAATACTTCATATTTGAAATAGCCATGTGCTAAAGTATCAGTGTGAAGTATCGAACGACGTCTCTTAAATTTATTAATAACAAAAAAACAAACACAAATATGTTTCTGTTACGAAAATAAATTAAGAAATAAATCTCCACGACACAAGCGTTATAAATTAATAAACTTAAAATCAATATGGAAATCTTTAATGATAAAGAGAAGCTCATATAAATAAAAAGGTTTTAAGGACTAAAATAAGTAAAAAGTTTTTATACAAAAATCCATTTAAAATATTTTTTGAAAGAGTCAGCCAATTTTGAAGACTTTATTACCATTTATTGAAATACTATTATGTACAAAATCTCAAAGATTTAAATGAATTTATGTAAATTAAGAGAGTTTGCACAATGATTTATAACATTTCATATTTTCAACTTAGAAACCAATTTATTAATAAAATTAGATTTTTATTAATAAAATTGATAGGGAGAAACTCAGAAACGATATAAACATATCTTTGAAATTTATACAATATAAAAATAAGCTGTACATACACGTAATAGCTCAAAAATGTTTTGTCGCATTTGGGCGCATCGGCCCCAATGTGCGACGTATCGGTGACCCAGAGAAAGTTTGGTTTCGCGGAACGTCGTCGTTCACCTATCGTAACGAAAATATCGGTCGTGAGCAACAGATAGTCAGCTGGGCAAGGGCCAGGCATATAACGAATAGCCACCATAACTCGACACTGAGTCCGCCTGTGGCGCGACTAGAAGTGGAAAACATGCGAGATCACCGTTAAGGTTTCGGAAGTACCTCTAAGAGAGTCGCAGACACGCGAGCCGTCGATGCTGTAATTCATTGAAAATTTATCACCTAGAAGAAGCTTGCGAGCGGTATCACGCGACGGCGCCTTCGCCCGCTCCACATCGCTAATCGACGTTAATTTTATTACACGCGACTTCTTCGTATATTTCCTGACCTTTTTTAGCTCTTCCTGGCCGGTTCTTCGCTAACGGAGAAAGTTCCTAGAACGCATTAGAACTTCTCGCTCTCGATCAACTTACGGCCTACCTGAAAAGCCAAATGCTTTATCATTATTGGTTTAGTAGTCGTCCTTAGACATGCTATATAAATCTATTATAATTTCCGATATTATAAATATATAAAATTAATATATATATTGTATGTTACATATAATGAAGTGTATCGTTGTCCAGTTGGATTTTACATCACATTGTTTGTTAATTTAAAAATATTTCAGTTTAATTAAAAGAAATTAATACTGAATAAATAAAATGTAGAAAACTTGGTCCAACATTTCTTGCTCTCCATTTGAATCTGTTATTGGGTCGTCCTTGTTCGTTTTGCAGCAATCTCTGAAATAAAATATTATTAAAAGTTTGCATAATAAACAAACGATACTTGAAGTAATAGTGGCATTTCCTGGTACCTGTAGTGTCAGCTTTCGTTATATTAGGAGAAAATCAATGTAATCCGTAAGCCGAACATTCGCTACATGTTATTTTCAGAAATCGTTCGCGAATGTACGTCCAACCTCTTCGTTTCTCTCGTTCAATGTCGTGGACCGACCATGTTGGACGTTATCAGCGCGCAACGTTCAGTATGGCCACCAAAGCACCCGAACCAGTATTCCCACGCAAATGTCCTCCGAACCGTATCTGAACCTCCTTCGTAACGTGTTCCGAGGGATTTTTCTGCAAACGGAATACGCTCTGGGAACGATTTGATGCGTGCTCGTTGCGACAGCGAAAAGATTCATTTTTGCGAATTGCAATGATCCCGCTGTCGCGAATACATCGCGATCATCAAGCGTTGCTCGGAAATTTATCGTCTGGTCTAAAGTTAAACAGAATATTACCCACGTGGGCGTTCCGAGGCATCCATAATATATTAGTTAGTAACATCTTGGAATATCGAGAGACATCTAAGGATTGTAGAAGCTGAAGAAAAATAAAGGAACGTCTTCTTACTGCAACAGGAACTTCCATTTTTTGGTTTCCCTCTTCTTCTTGTCCTGTGGAACAAGAATATGTTTATATATTAATTTGTTACTTTTATATATAAGGAAAAATTAGCTTTACCCGATATGGAAACGATATGCACGATCGTGGCGAAAATTATATCCAGTTACGGCTCGTGAAATAAGCTCAAGGGGAATAGGGTAACGTCAGACACACTACCTGTCTGACGGAACCCACACGATTCACTAACCTGGATCACCTGCCGCGCTAATCCCTTTGATCCTTTCTGGCACAGATAATCTGTAGGCAAATACGAGACTCGTCTTTAACAGACAGATTTTACGAGCATCCTTGACGTCGTTTAAAACCCTCATTTTGTTCTGCACACCTGCCGGATCTGGCGAACGTGAGAAACTCATAGGAAGAGAACTGGTTATTTTTTTCATAACTGCAATTTCAAATATGACTGAAAATAATATAGTAAAGAAGTAGTATAATAGAAACTGTACAATAATGCATAAGAGAATGCAAGAACTTGTATTGTACATTTAAAGTCCATACTCAAACAAGTTTAATGGACTCTTGATAGTTACATATTATTTTGTCGAAAGTTCTATTATTACAAAATATTGGAATTTTTTCTTGTTGAATGAATATCGTTAAAAAGAACCACGCAACTTTAATAATATCTTTGGTATACCTCGTTATATTGACACGTAAGCTTGTTTTCAATCTTCCAGCTCCTACTTACTTATTTATAAGACAAATTTCACTCGATCCATCTTTTATCCCCTTTAAAACCGTGCAACTTTTGTTTGACATACTTTTCAACAGCAATATCAACATTGACGTAAATCAAGGCAATCTTCTGCATCAGGGTGCTACTTTCGCTGGGCTCTTATAGATCCATCTTCTATAACAGCGTCACGGAATATCATTCTCTCGTCGCTTTAAGCGATGAAATTTTTCCTTGCCATGAAACTGGTGAAGAACTGCAACTGCTGTACAAAAACGAATACGTACTTTGAATGGAATTTTCTATCTACCAAGTACCGAAAAAAGTAATTAAAATTCAGTCACGTTGTTAGAAAAATTTATTCGAAGAAACACGATACTAATTACTAATTACTTATAATAGCCGTATGCAATTTACTGTAACAGCCATTAGCAAATAAAAATAGATTACTATAATTACCTTCCAAGTTTAGTTCAAGTTCCCTCGATCTTTTAAACTGAAATCCATTTGAATATCTTTCAAATAAAATCAACTTCCTCGTGTCTCGTTAACTATTGTACAATTTTAACAACTTCTCTGACACTTCCTCTGCAGACATAAGAAACTGATTTTTGGTTCGATAACGACTCCTTTTACCGTGCGGAGACAATTTTAATCGCGTAAGCTCTCCGTTCGTAAGATCTCTTCGCGCCCTTGGCATGTCTTAGCGACGAACAAAATGGCGCACGGGGCAAGAAAAGCCGTCGTCTCGCGATGCGAAGCACGTGGTCGGTGTTGCGACAGTAAACGTCGTGTCGCGTTTCAACGAACATGACAGCGACACGGGGAGATGCAATTTTCTCGCGGGCCGACGATGACGAAGTGGTTCCGCCGCGCGGGATCGCCTCTCGTCGCCCAATTATGCGCGCTCCTTGCGCGTCCGTGCGCACTGAATCGCCCCGTCCTCTCTCATTTGTGTAATTTCTGACCAAGATGCTAAACTGCCGAGAGAAAGCAGCGATTTCAGCGCTGGAGATCGTAACTGTCCATGATCCTCCACTTTTCTTCGCGATTCCACGTTCTAACTCTTGTGTTCAGTGTCCCGAGCGTGATCGGGGATTGAAGATGGAGGTGAAGATATCGAGGGTACATAAGCGAGGTTTTCAACGTTAGGTTCTCGAAGGCAATATTGGTAGAAATTTGTGAATATATTACAAATATCCACGGAACATCGACACATAATTATCTTTCGTCATTACGTAATTATGCAAATTGAAGCGGTATGTTTCATCAATTTGATTTATTAGCGTTGTCAGAAAATTGAAGACTGAACGATACTAGAGGAATTAATTTCTTCCGTTCCTTTGATACATTCGAGAATATATCGAATATATTGAAGACCGAGAATATGGTTTTCCTTTTTATACGGTGGAAGAAGCGAAGGCAGTGAAACCGAATATTCTATGACTAAAAGCATTCCACGAGTTAAATTATCGTGGTTGAAACTGAATGTTTTTTTTTTTTTAGTGTAAATGATATCCTGGGAAAGTCTCAATGCTGAATTACGAATGATCCCTGCGCGTTTATGTAAACCTTGGCACGACGTCTTCTTTAGTTTACGTAACTTCTACGTGAGATACCCGAGAGAAAGGAGCGATTTCAGTACTGAATATCGTACCTGTCGCGGTAATATTAGACTTCGCATCAATTGCAACGAATAAGCAAGTGCTTAACCTTTTTTAACGAGACGGTGAAAAATTTTTCCGGTTTCCATTGCCCGAGTCAAACTAAATATCACGACTCCTTCAAAAACCTTTTCCCTCGTTCAATCAGATACATGTATCATTGGATTAAAAGAATTAATTTAGATGGATAATAAAAAATTGAGAAAAGAAATTCCCATCAGAGAGCGTCTTCCATCAGAAAATACTTAATTGAAATCGAGTAACTCAGTCGATGCGATACAGAATGAAAAGCAGAATTCGTTCGAAATCGCTTCAAACGGAATGGAAGCTGAGCATTGATCGATCGATTCGACTGATTCGATTACAATAAAATCGATCGAATTACGATGCAAGTAATAAAATCTGTCAAAGAAGATCTGTTACAGATGAAGCTACCGAATAATCCCTTATGACACGAGGGCAATCATTCGACGTTTTTTTTTACGATGGAGCCGCGATTTTGAAGGCTGTTATGTGCGCGTTCATCGGAATCGCAGCTTAAACGCACTCGTCGAAATTGTCCTCTCCGTACTTAACAATTTCCATTTCCATATCGACCCAGCGCGATGCAAATGAAGGCGTGTACCGTGTCGAATCGACAGCGATCGCTATCAAAACAATCGATTCATTAATTTAATTTCATCTTGTCACCGCTTGACAATGGGCGCGTATAGACGGCATAAATCTCAATAACAAATCTAAAGCCACGAGTATCTGCGTGCTCGAAATGCATCGAAGAGGAGCTGGTCCTCGGATGATAAACGTTGTATGAAATATTCTCTCCTTTTGTATGTAAAATTTCTCAAGCTCGTCGAACTGATCATAATACATTGTTTATTTTCTTATCTCATGAAGATGTTTCTCTTATGTTTCAGGAGGCGAGTCTGCACTAGATCGGTTCCCAGTTCTATCGGTCATCATCATCGAAATGGACAAATTAGGTAAGGTGTGGTTTCTGTAAAACGAGGTACATGTTAATAAGTGTGAAGAAAAGTAGGTATATTATAGTTATTTTTAGGTATCTTAATGTATATAATGTTAAGACCGATTCCCCTTCCGTTTTCTTTTGCTGCCCTGGATGGACGCAGGCCACTCATTTGAGTTTTGGATGTAACAAACGTGAGTATAATAGTTCTACTATTTAATAAAAAGTAAAACTGATAATATGGAAAGCTATATAGAATTAATAAAATAAAATATCTTATGAATTAACACGAATTGTTTAACTTAATACCGAATAAAGATTTGTTATAAATTACGTAGGACATTTAGTAGTTAACAATAAATAATCCTGTGTCACGTAATTCACAAATTTAATTGCCTTTCAGCTACCTGCCCTTCCCCATGCTTAAATGGAGGAATATGCACCTCCGCTGGCAGGTGCACGTGTCCCAAAGGATTTACAGGCAACCAGTGCCAGACAGGTAATGTCTAACACGAATCCAAATCGACATTAAATCATCGTTTTAGATGTTAATCAACGCTATCGGTGTAACACCTTTTCTATTTCACATTCTATTACCAACCTCACTCCATTAACTTTCTCACAAGCATGTCCGATTAAATTCCACGCGATAATGTATAACTCGGAACGATCCTACAAGGATATCACACCTACATTTTCACAAATCAAATTAGTAACAGATACTTCCACTATCAAATTCCAAATTTCGACTACATCTATTCCATTTATGTAAATCACCCATAAGTGTAAAATTAAAACCACATTTCCATATTCTCCCAATTGAACTTATCAAAGTTCTACTATCCTATCATTACTACCATTACTTTCATTCCAAGGATACAAATGACATAAATATAAAAGTTCAAATCTTTAGATTTATCTTCTTATTTATTACATAAATAAGAATCAAATCTTTAAATTTATCCTTTTATTTACCACGTAAATATGGAATTCGAATCTTCTAAAATGGAGCATATTCAAATGTTTCAATTCTCATATTCAACTTACAAAGCGCACAATGGAGAGCGACTTTCATTCGTAGCTCCTTGTCTAGGCAAGGCCCCGGGTGGCATAGAAGTAAACGAGCCTCTGTGAAGCTAACGATGCAAACAACGAGCGCCGTTAAATCGTAAAATATCCGTGATCGATATTCAGGCTAGGAGCACGTCCTCGTAGCCGAGATCGTTAGGCGTAATTAAATTGACGCAGACCGATACGCAGGTCGACAGCATTGCGAGAATATCGTGCCGATCGGGCGTATTGTGGTGTCCAACAGCTGGGCTGTTTTCGATAGATTTACGAGCGATTTCATTAAACTATGCAGACGTTCTAATTATCGGCGCGGGGTAACTCGTGTTGGTGAGCCGCTTTCGATTCGATAGAAAAATTTTGCATCAAGGGTTTCAACACTTTCCAAGGCAATATCCTTCGGGCTTTCATGGTCCTTTCATATAATAACGTCTCGTTTAGCCCTATGATCCCTATGATCTATAGTTTATTAAATTTGCATGATCTGGAACAGTGAATATAAAATTGAAATAAGATATTATAGCTCTTCGTCATTTTATATATGACGGTACTGTAATAGTTCATGAAAAGTCTTCAAATTTTTAAAACAACGAATTTTCAATATAGGATTGAAATAAGATATTATTTATCGTTTTAAATATGGCAATGTTGCTGCAAAAGTTGTACTATTATTAATTTATTATTTAATATGTATGTAGATTTTGTATTGCAACATCACCTCTATCGTTTGAATAGCAAGATCATTGGAAATACTAAATACGGTTGCCAATAAAATTAAGTCCCCTTGTTTCGTTCCCTGCGCTACGCTATGAAAGTTATGATCAGGACGTGGGAAAAAATTCGCTCGTTCAGAAAAATCAAAATTATTTATACGGATTTTAAACATTGAAAAAAGCACATACTTCAATTTCCTTTATATCTGACTCATTTTCTTATGTTAATCAACGAGCAAGTTTCTTTAAATGGTACCACTCACCCCCACCTTCCTTTGCTTATCCTCGATCATATACTAACTCAGCGACCAATTTACATTCCCAGTAATTTATTCCGCAAAATCCTCGAGCCCATTTCGAGAAATTCAGCGGATCAACGAATGGCAAAGCTGTATTGCGACGAATTTGCGCAATACAGCTGACCGGAAACCGAAGGACTTCGCGATGGATCAGCAGCAACCCGTGCAGCTGTCACGTTTATGCAATTAATTTTTGCACAAATTAGCATAACTTGTCCACCAACGTTACAGACATCGACGAGTGCGTGACAGAGAAGCCCTGCGATCAAATCTGCAGAAACCTACCCGGAACCTACGAGTGTGACTGCAGGCCCGGTTTCCAACTACAGAAAGACGGCCAGTCCTGTCGAAAGAACGGTGAGTAATCGTTGGAAAAATTTTGCTCAGTTCCCAAAGATAAATTTGTTTTCGAGATCTCTTGACAGTGACTAATACGGAATTGAGAAACGCAGAGAGTATCACTTTTCGGGCGATTTATATGCCATCCACGAAACGCTGGACACGATGTAGTACCAGAGAACAAGAAGTTTTCGAATGGCTTCTTGTTGTTCTGGCCCATTCTAGGTATTCGAATTTTAGATAAGCCAACAGAGGACGCTGTATTCGCTCCCATCGATCCTGAACTTCAATGTCGTATGCACGAGATGTTTCTGATCGTATTCGAGACGAGTTGAAATTGGTCAAAATCGAGTTTTAGGAAACAAAATGGCGTATAATAGAGTGACTTGAAATATTAGCTTGAATGATTTCTGACTGAAAACATACGGTCAAAGTACTGCGTCATTTGCAGAAATATTTTTAAATGTGATGCAACTATTTCGCCTATTTATTACTTCAATATCAACTACTCGATATCAAAAATTTCGAATACGTATTACGTTCTCTACCGGAAACAGCGATCCTAGTTCTAAACCAAAGAATTGGACTGTTTCAACTTTCATTGTGCTATATTTTTTGGTTTCTTTTTTTCCAGACACTGATGACACCGCGTTCGAGGCTCGAGACTTGGAGAATGATTTCCACGACGTACCAACAACGAAACGTCCATCAATCTCGCCCCAAGGTACATAACTCGTAATTATAAATTTCTCCTCACTCCTTTTATTCCAATTTTCTATAATGTACATAATAAAAAATAAAAATAAGGATATTTTGGGTTTCGTGATCGTACAGCAATGTTAAAGAGCTGTCTTTACAGATACAGAAAACGAGGTGGCTGACGGCGACCTCGATCAAGACTACGAGATTATCCTGAAAAGGCTCACCAAGCTCGAAAAGGTACGCCGGACAATGGTTTGCCGTGTGTTATTTGACTTGTAAAGGAGGGAAACGCTCGCTCAATGATAGAAATACGAATACGAGAAGTTGAAGAATGCCTTCTTATTTCAAAGTTGTATTCCTGATCGCTATGCACATGCGAGGATTGTATAAATTCTTGGGTAACAATATAATTCCAGTTTTTGTGGCACTGGATAGGAAGATGGATTGGTTTAGGTTTCCTAACAAATTGGAAAATATTTTGGAAATTCCTAGTTCTAGATGTATTTTGATTTCTATAGCTCGATGTAGTAAAATTCACGATAATAAAACGTTTGGATAATTAATATATTTTTAGCAATTCGCAAAAGGAAGGAAGAGAGATACAGAAACGACGGAAATGAATGTCAAGGTTGCATCGGTAGTTGAAAGTATCAACGAAATGAAGAGAGCCGTTGAAAATGTGGTTGGTATACAAAGTATAGATATTTATTAATACTTTGTGAAATATACATAATGTTTAAAAGTATAATTCCTCCCTTGTAGCAACTAATGCAGCAAGAAATATATGAAATGAGAAACAAATTAAGAGAATACGAATTGGAGACAAGGAAAATGCAGCATTTAACGAATAGAGTAGTAGAACTGGAGAATCGTTTAAGACTACGTTGCAGGTCAGCAATACCAATGAACACTGGATCGTTGAATTTTTAACACCATTATAGAGAAAAAGAATATCAAAAGCATTGGGCATTGCCCATAGATGTAATATTTATGTAAGAAAATTAATAGAAAAAATCATACTATCACTGCCATCTCCTTAGCTTTTATGATACTTTAGAGTGTAGTAAAATTATAACTTAAGCAATCTTTGTGATCATTTGTATTCAGCTTTATAATAAAATGGAAAAGAAATTTAAACAATGTATGTGGCTTTATATGAGAAAATTGAAATTATTATATTATAATAGTAAAATTTGTTTCCATTACTTACAGATATAAAAGAAAAAGATAACGTTAATCAGTAGTATCAATTTTATATAAATTTATTTTTGTTTTGCTGCTTTTTTCTGTCTCCTAGTTAACCTTTTGTGTGGCTTTGTGTTTCCTTTTTCTGATTTAGCTCTACCCTTTTTATGTTTAGCAATTTTTCGTCTGTTCATCCATACTGGATAATTACCATACTGATCTAGCATTGTTCGCTTATTATATACCCTGCCACCATTATCTACTTCCATCCTCTCAATAGTATCAGCTTCGGCACCATCTTTTGTTTTTGAATTCTCTTTTACTTTTTTGGCATCAACAACTTGAAGAAGCAATATTCAGTTAAAATTGAAATGTAAAAACAATATACTAAGAAGCAATATGCTTTACCTGTAACCATATCTGATATTTCCAACATTTCAACATCTTGAGTACCATTTTCTTTGATACCCAATGTCTTTTTTAATCTTTCTAACTCTTTTGCTCCATAACGTTCTCTTTTAACTGCTCTACACTTTCTTTTCCATTTACTACGAATTGATTTCGCCATTTTATTTTCTCAATGTTATAATAAATAAGATTTCAAATATTTTTCGATGATGACATAACCCTGCACTATGTAAGAAATTTGAAGGATAAGAAATGATTAATATGTTAGAAAATATAAAATCAGATTCAATTATTTATTTGGTTAAAACTTACTTTAGATATATATTCTTCTCAATATTTTGAAAAAGTATGTTTTATCGAATATATGAAGCACGTGTATCAAATTTTTACTGACAATGAAACAATTAACCTCAAACCTGTTTACTCTTCTACAATGTGGTATTGAGTGGCGTCCTCTACAGGTAAAATATTTAAACACGGATATTTGTCGACCTTATAGGATCAAGTCATACCCACAGACGAAACATAGAAACGTCTGTGCTATGATTATTTATTATTTTATTTTTATAATTACTAATCTGATTATAGTTTATTATTTCTCTTATCGATAGATTTTATCATTTATTATAACTTAGTACTTCATATTTTTCTTTGATGTACAAGCTGTTTTTATTTGAAGCTCTGGCGATAAATAGCTTTGGATATATATAAAATATTCAGTTTTTATATCAATTTATATCTATTACATATTGTTATTAATGCTAAGTCTATTCTATCCCTCGCGTGTAATAATATTTGATTAATGCTAATAAAAATTAATATAACTTTTATTACCTACTGTTGGAAAGTGTCGATTCTAACCTCATCGATTTAGTGTAAAAGAAGATTGTAGCACAGTCGAGTCGTTTCTGATACGATACTTTATAATACTCTACCTACATGTTTTATGTATCTTGTGTTTGTAATTATAAGAATAGATAATTCTTCAGAATTCTGAATGGCATCAAAATTCTTTTACATATGTATTCTCTTTATATTTGAATATTATTAATGTGTTCAATCATCTCGTGTATACACGAGTCATAAATGCAATACCAAGTAACACTTAAAATTATGTTTAACGTTTCATTTCTAACGCAAACAAAAATTTGATTTACTAAATTTCATCATATGGCTACTTCTTTAATTACACTAACAAAGGTTTTAACCATTATTCTATACCTTGGATAAATCTGTCGTAAAAAATTTGTTTGCTTTTGAAATCGCAACGATAAAAATTTTCGATACTTACAATATTCAATTTTCTACTTCCTCCGTTCTCGTAGGAAAAGCTATGAAAATGTATCTTCAATAGAAAAAATTTTAGCAAACTAGAACGTTTTATACATTTGTGTCAAGCCCCAATTTCACTCAATCTCAAACACGAAAACGCGTTGGCGTCTTTTCATTATCATTATAGGAAACGCTATCCGAACACGATAAATGCAGTTTTCAGATGCGTGTATATCGATACATTTATTTATCAATGTGCACGGACACAGGTCGATGATAAACCAGTTCTATCGAGAGCACTGTGTAAACGGAAACGTCGGTCAATTTCACGATTAACACTTTCTAAGTCACGACGTAAGTACGTCCACTGCTAGTATTTAGACGTTCTGATCCACTTTTCACTTGACTCGTAACATATTTATGTTCGTACAGTTTTCACGTGATGACGCCTCGATCGTCACGTATCACCTATCCTGGTTATAATTTTGTATATCCGTATACTCCATCAATTTCTGGTAAAATTAATTTATATCGTGTCGCGGCATCTAGTAGTAAACCCTACGAATCGAATTCACGAAGTTACCCATAGAGACATTTCGTTGCAAGTTCAGACCGTACGTTCACAAAGGATCATTTCTTAGTTAATATAGTTTCGTCCCATTTCAGTTACTTTACGAATACCTGATTAATATAATTGGTAACGAAATCATTGTATTCGAAAGGTTTAATACATAAATATAATTATTGGCAAAAAGAAACAACAGGGAGGAGAATAATAATTTATTTTGAAATTTCTTAAAAGGTACGTCTAGAGTGCGTATTTATTGAAAGTACATATATTTTATTTCCAGTATTCGATTTGTAGAAATCGAATTTGCAATAGCTTTAGTATATATTGGAAACGAGTTGATTATTATCCGAAAATGGTAAAGTACGTCGTGGCGGCAAAAATTACCGGTATATCGACGAGATATGTAGACCCATTATCATCAGAAGAACTCTTATCAACGAGTGTCGGTTCTGTATAAACGCACGAAGAAGTGACTCGTTAATGTAGTAATAGCCCAAAGCGAGGTTGGAGTGCCCCGGTGTGTGTACGTGGGTCGAGAGAGACCACTCTGTTTTTTCGCATTGTCGGCACAAGTAGTTTGTTAACGGCGGACGTCGGCGATGTCATCTTCAGGCTTTAACGAGGAGTAAGTAATACTTACGATCCCTTTAAGCGGCTCGTACCGAACAATTTCCGCACTACTAAATTGCCGGAGATTTTGCGAGCCGCGGCAACACGATTCTACTCTTTCGTGATGTGTTTGTCGATCATGGCGCGCGGGAATTGGTCACGTTAGGTTGGGTTATGATTTGGCGCAGTGGGTCGACGTTGAAAACCTTCGTCGTGTCGCAAATGAATGTTTGACGTGTGTGATAAGAAACTTAGTTGTGATAAATGGCGTTAATTTGTCTTCCTTTGAGAAATTTCTTTGAATAGCTTTCCCTTCTTTCTTTGTGTTGTATACTGTGACTGGTTTGTTCATTATTATCGAACGACCGAATGTTACAATAAATTCGACTAACGTAAGTTAGAAAAATAATAACGAGACATTTTTAATAGACATTTATATCGAAGCAATCTATTTTATAAGAACTTTATTACACGGAATTAGATTTTTTTTCATTTTATTAACAATTTTTAACAAACATTTGAAAGGAAACAGTCGGTTCAGGTTATGTGCAACGAATCTAACTTCGATCTTTTTCTAGGTGCATACGAACGTTATAACGAAGCTTAATATAGAGGTTAAGTATTACGAAAGCCGCAGTCGATTATATTTAAAAGCAACTGATAGGAAGTTGAATGGATAATAAGTAGTGGGAGCTGTTAAAAGCTGGTGGGTATTTCAGGTAGCAATGGAAAAAATCGACATATCTAATTACATCTGAGAATTCGCATTATTGACACGGATAACGACTTTTCGTTAAAAACTTCGCCATCTAATTAGGTCATTCGAAAGGGATAGCCAATTCGTTCAACAATCACGGTATTATCGACATGTACGTTCATTGCGCAAATATTACATTTCATTACAGTGTCGACGTAAAATATGATTAAACGTTTCAGACTTAATATCTGACAGCCAAATTAAACTGTGATTGCAAGGTTCAGTTCGCCATCTATCATATCGCAAATGGACGTGGTCGTTTGTAAAATTGCGCTGAAAGAGCTGCAACTACAAATCATCTAATCAAGCAATTAGTAATTATTAATAAACACTAGGTACAAATACCAAGAACAAATTATTTGTGCTAATTTCAAAGCGATGTTCAGCGACGATTTTAAAAACCAAATACGTTAAAATGAATTCAAGTCAAAGACAGAAATTTCTAATTTCTCGAATTGCGTTTCCTAACTTTTTATTTAGAAACTTCTAATTTTTTCGCTCAAGACTTTCGAATGTTTCGCAATCGTTATAACTACCTTTTCAAACTTTTTATCCTCGACGAATCTTTTCCCGAATTTCTACATTTTCGCCATTCCCTTTCTTGAAATCCAATCTTCTTTTTTTTTTATAATTTTCCAACAGATTTCTATTTCTTCCTAAAATACTTTCAAAATTTATATCGAACGCTCTACTGAATTTCTATTTCCAACAATTAATTGTTCAAACTCTCTCTTTCTTTTTTCAATCTTCTACTCAGCTCTACTTTCTTAGATACACTATTTCAAATTCCCATCTGCTGTAACCTAAATTCTCATCTCCCAGTAAATCACTCCACAGATTCCCATCTTCTGCAATCTTTCTACAATACCTATTTCCCGTCGACTTCCGTCCAATCTCCTATTTCATACCAAATCTCTCCCACCAGCTCCCAACATTTTATCCCCGTTTCCGGAAATCCCTAATGTCCCGCTGTCTCTTTCGGCGAGGTCGATTTTCGTTCGTGGAAAAATCGCTTGCACCGGATCGTCGAACCGCGAATAACGACAGGCTCGATGCACTTGAGTGCAACGGCCTTTGTCGTAACCGTGAATGCACTCTCTCCGTACGTTCGTAGCTGGCCCCTTTTTCTCGCAGAATCGCGAATCGTATCGCTGCTCAATCGCTTTCGGCGTCTAGCAAGAAACGACGTGGAGGAAGACGAACGAAGTCTCTCTGGACTCGGGAAACCTGGTTTCGTTTCTAGCTGATGCCTTCGTTTCAATCGACTCTATGTGAACCGCGATATGGCACAAGGACATTATGCTACACTGACCTCGTCTCCGTGTGACCCGAGTCGAGTGGCTCGCAGTACCTACGTAACATATTCATGCTAGAGCGCCGATGGAACTCGTTGGTTCTGTCATATCATTAATAAAACACGTCCGCGAGTGTTTCTTGGTGTTGTGTATGGATGATTCGATCGAATCCTGGTGGGCAACGGGAAATCGTTGTTCGGTAAGTAACGCAATTTGTAGTCGATTCCACGAAGGGGAATCGAATTGAATTTTATGACTTCCATAAAGTTGTATTCGTTGGAAGAGAAGTCAGGACAGTAGCTGGTGTTTGTTTGCATTGAATTCGAGCTTTGGTTCTGTTCTCTTACTGTCTTTGTTGCTGTTAGAATTACATTGGGTAATTAGTACTTTTTAGAGAATTGATGATTGAGTTGCTTCTGGTCAGAAATTTTATTGGAAGTGTAATAATTCTTCTTGTAATTTGAAGTTCATTTAATCAGTCAATTTTACTCCAGGCTTTATTTGCAATGAATTAATATATAAAAGGTATTTTTGATATGTAATATTTAATTAAGAAATATTATAAATTTAAGATTGTAACAGTTTTTGTGGAAAATTTAATTTACTTTATAATTTAAAGTCTTTATTTGAAACAGTATAATTTTGGTAATTGGCAGATAGTGAATATAGTAAATGTAAATTGTCCTGATTAAATTGATTTAAAAGTACTCTGTTAATGGATGGTATTCTGCTTCAGAAGATATTACGCGTGTTCTTTTTATGGAGCATTTAATTACAACGTAGCAGTTTTTGTGGCCATGTTTTATTTTCGTTTCTAATTCTCGAAGAATGCAGCTTTCGCGTGAACCCTTTCATTAACTCATCCGCTCGAAAAACAATGCGAAAGCCAATTAAACTCGTTTAAGCTGTAGACGTGTATTATATAAGAGTCGACGAAGGGTGGCTGCTGTCATTGTATCTCATGAATAGTCTGCCACTACGACGAGCCATTTTTGCGTCGCGTGTCATTGTCTCGAATAAATGCAACGCGTCTGAAGCGTTGAAAGAATGCAATGAATATCTGTTTTAACGTATTTAAAAAAATCTGCACATATTCAAGAATGATACTCATTTTTAATTCTGTGTTTTTAGGAATCATCAGCAAGGTGTATCCTAAAGAGATGATGAATAATGGAGATACGATCGAGCGATGAAGATATTGAACATGAGGCATTCTTTATGGAAAGTCACAGTCTGGAGTAAGTCTATTACAAATCCATTTATTAAACTTTGATTTTCTTTTTGCGATACGTTAGACCTGAATGGAAGGAATGCAAGGCAAGTTTTCGATAAGATAATGAAATATTTCTGAGTTGTATATAAAGATTTATAGATAGGGAGTAGATTACACCGATCAACAATATCGATAAAGGTATCAAAGAAAAAGTAAATTCTAACTAGTTTCGTAATCGTGACATCATAATATTTGCCATACTATTTTTCAGACTTCAGCTATTGTTTCTCCTAAGCTCCGATATATACCTTTTTAAATCTTCGTTTAGATATCCATACTATTGAATTTTGTAAGTAAACCCTATTTTCGATATTTTAAATTTGTTACACTTCTTAGTTACTAAGCATACCAAATTAGGTTTTCTTCTTTATAATCAGTAACCACACCTGTAGGAACAAAAATTACTTAAATTTGTCCCTCGGTAGTCATCCTCTTAATAAGATTGTCCCTCTCTTAATCCTTTTCACTACCCTTTAATTATAAAAAATTCTACATTGAAGTAGTATTTAATTTTAATTAAGTACTATATACGTACTCCATCTGCTACAAAATTAGATACAAATTTTAGAGATTCCTTGCATTTTTCCACGTGAAAACGCTTGAAATATAATTATGGTCGCGTGATTAGTGTATCTTATAATCACAAGCAGTGATACGAAAGATTCCTGATGAATCAGACTCGTCACTATTAGCGCAAAGGGTTAAACCAACAGTCGCGCGTAAATTCTACAGAAAGATCCCGAATGGCAATTTACATAACATATCACAGTCATCCGATCTCGAGTCTCGAAAAGCCCCTCAAAACTTTCGAGCGGTGCTTAATGTAACAAAGCGTGCTTCAGAATACCTGAAGATACCTGGCAGTCAGGCCATGTTTACACAAGTAGCCACTCGTCGATCACCTGACATTCCTCGAGCGGTTCTGCTGACGCGTTACACCGGTACACCGTTCGCATACCTATTTATATTGTGCAACTTTCACTGATAACGAGAGCAACATTCCGAGAAGCGGCGTCTTCTGAATATTTAGAGAGTAGACACGGTTTCAAGCGGATTCAGTCGCGTATCTATCCGGTCGCAGGCGAGGATCGTCCTGTGGACGAGTCAGTGTCGCGTCAGCTTCCTGTTCGTTTTTCTTCCCAGCGTGTGCCAACCTTGCCGCTGACATGCACAATTTTAACGACTCCTTTTGACACGAGCCTCGTCGCTCGCGCCGCGAATAATTAAACGAACCGCGGTAACGACAGTGGTCTGTTCCTCGGCTAAAATACGCGCGGCTGTTGCGGCGAGGGAAGAAGCTGAATCGTAATAGGATATTGTCTTCCCCGTGTGTAGTAAGTTATTTTTCTCTTCTTTACCTTTCTTTCAGGCTCATTGTGCGATACACCAGACGCAGCTGCAGGGGAATAATTTTTAGCACGATGTTTGAACGTCCTTGCTTGGAAATGCGACGGGAAGTTGTTACTCTCTGACATTATAAACCGAGTTTTCTGAATTGCCGTGTGCAATTTGGAACGTAGAAGAAACGGAAGTTGGTTAGTACCCTGTTGGATAATAGACACAGTTTTTTCCCGTTTTTCCGCGATCGTTAAACCGACTCGATAATAACGTGAAATTATTTCTTAGATAAGTCTCGTTTATGGCAGACGATAAAATTTGTCTTACTTCTTTTCTCTCTTTTGACGGAATATTTATTTATAGCTGCAAACTCGCTAGTGTATCGAACTTATGTGTACTTTTTACGTCATCGGTAGTCACGTTATTATACGTTGGATAATTTTTCTGGCTTCTCGCCGAAATGGGTAATCGCTAGATTAGAAACGTAACGATTATAGAAAGTATAGGTAACAGGTAGTCGTGATTACGTGCATCCTGTTCGTATCGTTAAACCATCGATAACGCTCTCTGAGATAAACAAAAACATGGGCAATAAGAATATTCCTACTCCAAGGCTTAATACCAAGCAAGAAATCTTATGTTACGTCCACTGTTTTATAAAAAAATCTTCTAAATACCTAATTTGAATAATTAGCCAATTAATAATTTGCATTCGTTTATATCTTAACCAAGATGATGTCATAAGCTTAATGTCGTGCACTAATGCTTCGAACCACAGTTTAATTTAATTTTCCTTCCAGGATCTAATTTATCGCAACATCACGTTACGACTCTCGCCATCATCGTGCAGGATACACATTTGAAACGGACTGCACTTCGCCTTTCAGTCTGCACACAGCGAGTCTATTAGAGCAAAGTGCAATGCTCCAGCACGTACGCGTTAACCCGGTTTCGGTGTCATCAGTGTCATCGACGTGACAACTAGGCCGCCATGAGCCCGAGTACCGTTCGTTATCATCACTCTTCCTAAATATCCATGCTCCAGGAACATGGAGTTACTCGAGGTCGTTTTTCCTCTATTTCTCCTCGCACAGACGCGAGCATCGTTGTTGGAAAACGCGCGAGAGATGTAATCGTTGACTCGACCGGATGCAGAGTATTTCCAGTCCCGAGATGGACGAATTGAAAGAAATATCGAGAGACAAAAGGTCAGAGTTAATTCTGGACGGAGCTAATTCCACGAGGAGCATCGATGCCGACTCATCTATTAATCTCATGGCAGAACATTGGGAGTTGTAAACCTGGTGTCCCGAAGCGAAAGTCGCAAGTTTCGATGCCGAAGATTTATATCAAGCAGAATTCTCACCTCTGTGATCTCGCATTCATCTTGCTTCCTAATAGATTTATTCGTAGATCAGGCGTATCAATCACTGTAGCGCGATGGTTATCTTTCTCACTTCCTCGACTCATTGTCTCCATCTTTCTAATTCGGTCCCATATTTAGTTTCCGATCCCCTCTGTGGACTTTTCTCTCGTTAATATATTGTCCATTGTAATCGAGGCGAGAAAGGAAACCATGAAGAAGCCGCGACGTGTCGAATATATAATAGGATTTACTTCTTTGAAGACACGAAGTATGCAGTTGTACGTTATTCTGTCCGTCTAGGTAACGTCAATACGCGATTGGAACATTTTATCTCGTGTCTGAATGAACGTCTAGTTCATTTAATGCAATTGTACACGTGTATTTAACATTCGTACGATTACGATTCGTTATGGATCGTATCATTCTGTAATTGTTAGCCGTTTTAAGTGAATGTTCGTTTCGATCTCATTCAGCCCGCCCAGTTGGTCATTGCTCGATTACCTCAATGAAGCAAAACCGCCGGAACGAAGCGGCCTACGCTCTGGTGCTCGATCGATTGTCACGCTACTTTCGCGGACGACGACGTTTCCCAAGGATGAAATTCGTTCGCATCGTCGAAGATCTTGGGTTCCTTGAACCGACGATGATCGTTCTCGAAGACGAGACGATATTTGTCCCTCCTTTGTGGCATTGTTACTCGTAGGAGAGAATACTGCGATCGATTTTGCGGAAGTTCTTCATCTCCATAGCTTCTATGCGTTTATTGGTGAAATTGATATCCTAATAAATGTCGGTTTAATTATCTAGTAGAAAACAACGATAGAGAGCGATGAATGTAGACAATAAGGTAAAACGTTACACGGATTTCAATTATTGTACTCTTCTCCAAAATTTCTAATATTAGAAACTTTTCTCACACACTATCCACATCTGAAGAAAATATAATTTGTAATGCGTATTCTTCAAGCTATTTATCAATTACTATAATCATGGAATTTTCACAAGTATCTCGAATGAAGTGAGGCGAACGAGAATCTCTAACACTTTGTCTGATAGATTCAAACTTCTCAGGATACAAATGCGCCACTGCTTTGAAGGTTCTTCAATGAATATCGTTACCTTTAACGAGCATCGAATAAGCTAAGCTATAACGCAATAAGAAGCATATTCCCAGGAGAAGGAGCACCTCGTTATGCAACGTAACGATTTATATTTACTTACCAGCTCACGATTCTTTGCCCTTTACGCAACCCAAGAATCGACTTACAACAGACAATTCGACGTCAGGAATAAAAATCAGGAATAAAAAACTCGCACATCTCTGAAATAAGATATTCATTCAAAAACCAAGCCCCGACGAGGAAAAAGAATCCATCTCCTTCCTCTGTCAAACCTCGAAACGATCGGTTCTTCTACTTTAGCGCTCATCCATATCACCAATGTCTACCTACCAGCGAACGTCCATTCCCTCGAACTTGCGATAAACACGCAGCACCTAAACCAGCTAAACGGACGAGTAACGTATCATTTCAATAAATTTCCATCGAAAGCCTATCAATCTAACCGTATCTCGGGCAATAAACGCGCATACACGGAGCATACATTAGCGGTATCGAGCATACGTCACACGAGACAGGAATGAGGAAGTTCGAGTGGAAGCCAGGGTCTGTTACGAGGCTGCTGAAAACGCGGAACAGCTTTTTACGGGCCCAATTTAGTCGTGAGAACCCGTGGCAACGACCAAAATTATCGAACGATAGACGCCGTTTTCATGGAAAATTGCGATCGGCAATGGACGAGGATCGAGCGATTAGGAACGATCCGCAAGGCTCCAAACCGGTTCCAGGCCTTCGTGTTAGGCTCCGAGGGAAAAGCCAAGTCGTGCAGGGACTCGTGATCGATTATCCCAAACACGGGCCGCCTTTTCATGGTACTTTTTCGCGAAAGTGAAATTTATCCGCGAGCTACGACAGGTTCTCGTCCATCTTCGACGGGTGACGCGTCGATTTCACACCCGTGGAAACACGTCCCGAAGAGTCATGGGACGTGGTTCGCGCCGGTTGAAGGAATTATAAGGCAAACTCGGTGATTATGATATCGAAACGTCTCGGATCGCGACGTTTTCCTCGAACGATGGAAACCGGCAGCTGTTTTTCGCGCGTTCGAATTACCTGCTGGTTGCACAACGGGTATCTAGTGTTGCCGATCTTCTGGTTTTCTTTGGACTCGTCGATCTGAAATTAGTATCGGGATCGAGTTAT